GAGTGGGGGTGGGGGGGGGGGGGGGTGGGGGGGTCTCCCAAATGAAAAACTGAGAAACATTATAATTGTTCATCAGTATATACAAAACTGTAAATAAAAAATAACAACTTTTGTTGGTTGGTGCATCTACACCCTCTACAATCTAACAAATGCTTCTCTGGATCCAACGTTACTGGAGACACACGTCATACATATATGGTGGACCTTCCCAATGCCAAGCAGACTTTGGATCAAAGCCTTGCATAGCCTATTTATTGTTTGATCGATCTGCCCTAGAACAGCTGATCGGTCCTGAAATGTGATTTCTATCCGACTTTGGGGAATGTGAGATCGCACTCACAGAGTCGGATAGAAGTGGCATTTCAGGAGCGATCAGCTGTTCCAGGGCAGATCGGTTCTCCTGCACATAGATCTGCGATGACAATCTGCCCTGGAACAGCTGAGAAAGTGTTGGAATTCTTCACCTTTTGCCGGTCATATATTTTACTGCAAAAAAGTGGGCGTGATTACGTCAACATGTGTGACCATGTGACCGGTCACACATTCCACCACCGAAAAACTGGGCGGGATCAGGTTAAAATGTGTGACCACATAACCGGTCACACATTCTAACGCAGTCACAAACTTTGATAGAACACCGGTATGAAATTTGTTGCTTGATTAACAATGTGTTAAACTGTGAGCAGCACAAATTGTTACATTTGTATGACTCTAAGTCTGTGCATTGTGGTGGGTAACAAAAAGTCACTGTCCAGTTTTGGGTGCTTTTTGACGCATTGTCAGCCCACTTAAAATGAATGAGCTGCTTTAACACAATGCAGGTAAAGATATGAATTACCGCACATTAATGTGCATGCGATTACACACTGCAATGGGGTAAAGGGCCCCTTAAAGTGACACTAAACTCAGGAGTTAAATCTTAAAAATGCATTCAAGTGCCTTTAACCTCTTGCCGTCCGCCCGTAGTAGAAAAACGGACGGACGGCACTGCAGATGACACTAAACTGATGAGCGGTAAAAGCTTTTAAAGAGTCGCCTATGGCCAATTTTGGGTATTATCGTTTTTTGAGGTTTCGCGCGCGCACGCAATTTTAAGGCTTGACATGTTTAGTGTCTTTTTACCCGACGTGACCCCATCTTTTATATTTTACCAAAAAATTGGGTAATAATAAATGTTTTATCATTTAATATAGGGGAAACTGTTTTTTTTTTTAAATTTCGGTAATTTTTCCTTAATATATTAAAAAAATAAAACCCCCAGTGGTGAATAAATACCACCAAAAGAAAGCTCTATCTGTCCCCAAAAAAGGGTATAAAATTCATTTCAGTACAGCGCTGCATGACGGAATAAATGTCAGTTAAAGTACCGCAGCGCTGAATACTGAAAAATGGCCTGGATGGGAAGGGGGTTTAACACCGCGGATGTCAACTGGTTAACTATTAACAAAAAATGTATCTTATTTGTGTATCACTCGGCTGTAGATCCCCAAATCATCTCTGAATTGATGCTGACACTGTTCTTCCTTTTGGAGTGTGGCTAATTTTGTTCCCATGGCCCCTGTGTGTATTGTAAAGTAATCACTGCTCCAAGCTCAATCCTATGAAGGACTACAATGTCACATTAAGTTAGTTAGTCCATCACAGGAGCGAGCTTGGAGCGGTGGCTATTTTACAACACACACAGGGAGCATGAGGAACAAAAGTAGAAGGAAGGACAGTGTCAGCACCAATTCAGAGATGATTTTAGGATCTACCGCTGAGTGATACACAAATAAGATACATTACTGTTAATAGTTGGAGTACTTGAAAGCATTTTTAAGATTCAACTCCTGAGTTTAGTGTCACTTTAACATCAACATTTCAGTCATCTGCAGACAGGTGAGGGAACCTTCTGCTTGGATTCCTTGATGTTTCTCAATCACAAGGGACATTGCGTAGGTGGTTTGGATAGCAGGAGACTGACTATGGGAACAAAGATTGGCTCCTAGCTTTATGCATTCATCCGTACAAGATTCAGAGTAGAAGTGACAGCCGGATGTGGAAACAGGTAAAGACCTGCTTGTGCACAGCCACATCAGTGTGAATGGTGAAGCACGCACATAACATGTAGTGTTAAAGGGAAGGGGAGGATATGACCAAACAACCCATCAATCCCCTTCCAGTAACAATAGCAAACTGCTCTGATCTGGTTATTGATATTTCACTTTTTTGCCAAGTGATCCTCCCGGCCAAAACTAATTCTGTGGTTTGAAATATTATGCTACTAAGGCTACTAAGGCTTTCCTCAATCCCCATGATTCCTCCTGAAAGATCCTCTATCAAATATCTTTAAAACTGAACTCTATGTAGAAATAATAGACCTAAATTATTGCAGCTCTTGAACAAATAATACATTGTGAAATGTGTTTTTTATATGCAAGCAGTGCAAGTGCTTCAATCTGACCTGGTATCAGCCTCTTGCAGTCCCTGTGCAACAGAGTTTCTGAAATGAAGAAGCAGCAAAAGGAGTCAATCAGATTATGTTCTGACAAGGAGCATGCTGATAAGAGGAGAGGGCAGAGTGATAGACCATTTCATGCTTTTGCGTAGACTGTCCAGTCACAGACAATGGCATGTCTATGACCGTCTAGGTTTAGAGGAAGTGGATGGAATGATGCTGGCCAGCACATTGAGGGCATCTAGTGGCAGAAAAGAAGTAGTACTGTAGTAGAAGCAGCTCAAATTGCTAAAAACTTTGATGGTGGTTCCAAAAGAAAGATGTCTGAACAGACAGTGCATCGCAGTTTATTGCGTATGGGGCTGCGTAGCCGCAAGGTGCCCATGCTGTCCTCCACCAAAAGTACCTACATGTGGGTATGTGAGCATCAGAACTGGACCACGGAGCCATTGAAAAAGCTGGCCTGGTCTGATGAATCATGTTTTCTTTTATATCATGTGGATGGCTGAGTGCGTGATGCTTACCTTGGGAAGAGATGGCACCAGGATACATTATGGGAAAAAGACAAGCCGACAGAGGCAGTGTGATGCTTTGGGCAATGTTCTGCTGGGAAACCTTGGGTCCGGCCATTCATGTGGATGTTATTTTGACATGTACCACCTACTTAAACATTGTTGCTGACAAAGTACACCCCTTTATGGAAACACTATTCCCCGATGGCAGTGGGCTCTTTCGGCAGGATAATGCGCCCTGCCACACTCCAAAAATCGCTCAAGAATGGTTTGAAGAACAGAGCAACAAGTGCCTCCAAATTCTCCAGATCTCAATCTAATCGAGCATCTATGGGATGTGCTGGAGAAACAAAGGGAGGTCCCACCTCACAACTTACAGGACTTAAAGGATCTGCTACTGATGGCTTGGTACCTGATACCACAGCATACCTTCAGAGGACTAGTGATGTCCATTCCTCGATGGGTCACTGCTGTTTTGGTGGCAAAGGGAGAACCTACTCAAAATTAGGAGGGTAGTCATAATGTTATGGCTGATAAATGTATATATACTGTATATACACTGAGTGGCCAGATTATTATGACCACTCCATCAGTACTTTGTTGGGCCGCCTCGTGACTCCACGAGATGTTTAAAGTTGATGCGAGCAATCTGACACTGCACTGTTGCCCTTCTGTTGTCTTGTACCAGTCTTGCCACTCTCCGTTCTGCCCTAACATTGACTAGTCGCTGACGGCCACAATTCGCATGTTCAGACTCAGATTTTCGGCTGACAGTCCAGTCTTTAAACACTTTAACAACAGCTGCTCTTGAACATTTAACGAATTCTGCTGTTTTGCTGATACTCGCTCCATGGCTCCGAGCGCCAACAATCATCCCATGTTCAAAGACTGTTAAATCGCTTCCCTATTTATAATGGTCTGACCCTCTAGCTACTTCAGCACGAAATTATAGCTAATTGGCCTACAAACGTCAGGTGGTCATAATAATCTGGCCACTCAGTGTATACAGTATATTCTCTCTGACACACAGCTATGTCCAGCTGTCCACGTGAGGACCTGCTTAGCAACAACCAAAATGTAATCCACAGAATTGGGAGTCCAAATGTCCCAGAAATGTTATCGGATTCCCAGGAAAAGCAGTCCCCGTGCACTTTTATTTTACACAGCACAGGGTAAAGAAATATATTCCTTTACCTCTGGGTCATTGCTGGCTTTACCTTAAATCAGGTATTTCAGAAACTGTGGAGCAATATTCCTTCCATCAAATACTTTTACTGCCAACCGAGCAGATTTTAAAGACATCCTGTTACATATTCCCCCCTCTGCTTAAACTTGTAGGTTTGAGCAGTTTAGGCAAAGAGACTGTGAACTCTGGAGAGAGCGTTAACGTTACCTTGCTGGCTTCATGGTCTATGCTATATTACAAACTTGAAGTTCAGTATTGCCAGCAACCACCAGGTAAATCTTGCATTCCTTTCTGTATTCTGGCCATCCACTTGAAAGGAGCATGATTTGTTATGCTGATGTCCCCTTGTGGACTATACCAAAGTGCCAACAATATACACGACAATCCTCTCAAAGGGTAATTCAACTATAGGTAAGGGTACCAGCAGGCTCCTGAAATGGGACACTAAAGCAGTGAATTGATCTATTGGGTAGGCTTCACAATACATTTTCACATCTTTATGTATGAGCAGCCAATTATACTTTTGTAACATGCTTTCTTTGGTTTTATTAACTCCCAGATCCCAGTGCATGTGAGTGAGTTAGGTCAAGCACCATGCATCTGTGAGGTTGTGATACAAGCAGTTGCTCAAGTTCCTCACCCCGTATGTCATCCACTTGATAAAAAAAAATATTTTCCAAAGAGAAGTGTGGGAATGTAATTTCTGCCCCGGCTTTTGGTGCACTCCAATGAACAACTTTTACCTGCTCTTTGGCCCAGCTCAGGGTAGGGTCCCTAAGGTGAGCTGTGCCACAGTTGTCTTGGGATACGGGTAGGTCAGGCAAGTCTATCTCTGAAGTGTCTTCCTCAGCTTCTGATGCTAGGACCTCTAGGGGGAAACTCTCTACCACATCCCCCTGGGAATCCCCTTCCAGTGGCTCTGGGCTGTGAAGGTTTGAGACTTTGTCTAAGGATACAGGGCAGAGTATCCTTAGACAATCCAGGGAAAAATGGGAACTATCATCCAACTATGGCATTATGAATTATTGCCACTCTACTTTAAGTCTTGAGTATTGCTGGGCCACAGTAGCACTTAAATCAAAGTAGACTTTCTGGGGTTTGTCCATTAGAAAACATGTGAGGACACCAGTCTTCTGGTCCTGGGGTAGACCCTTTTACCCTGCTACTCTCTCAAACACCATGAGGAAAGCCACCACATCGCTTTTGGTGGACACTTGTGCACAGCTGCGATCATTTCCACCTACAGAGTCCTGTCAGCCAGGGTCTGGATCTGACTCCGTATCAGCAGAAGGCACTCTATTTGCTCTTTTATGGCACCCTGGGTAACAGCTTCAAGCCCATGGTTTATTTCCTGTTGGTCTGCACACGCTTGCTGCTGGGCATCCTGAAGGAATTCAAATACACCACCTGTTTGATCAACGCCTCTATTTTCGCAGTCCCTGCTCCCACAAGCCAACTCAAGAGAACTGTCTCCCTTAAGATCGCCAGCCATTTAAGAGGTTGCTTCTGTGAGCATAGAGTCTCTAGGGATCATTGCTCGCTTCAAGCCACCGATTGTAGTAGTTAAACTCTAGGTAGAGGCAAGAGTCCAGTCTCTTAAACAAAACACAAGCTCTTTATTCTAGCAAGAGTAACAAATGGTAAAGACATCCAGCCATATAGCAAATGTAAGCAAACAAAGCCAAGATCTGCTCAAATGAGCCTTACTAAGTCCTTGTAGAAGCAATGTTCCTTAAGGGAACAGCCACAGTCATCAACAGGTTCATAGACTTAGATCCAACAGTCTATTTAGTACACAGCACATTGCCGGTCTCTCCTTGGACTGAGAGGTATTAGACACACAGCTAGGTCCAGCTGTCCTACTGCGGACCTGCTCAGCAACAACTAAAATGTGGTCCATGGAATTGGTAGCCTATCCCTCCCGGAAACGGACTCCCAGTAAAATCAGCCCCAGTACACTTTTTTTCCTTTTTTTCTTTTATAAAATATATTTCTTTACCTCAGATACTTTGCTGGCTTTACCCTAAATCAAATATTTAAGGCACCGTAAAGTGACATACCTTCCAAACACCATGCAGCAGGTGCATTGCCATTCATTTGTATGGCACGGCAATGCACCTACTGGCTGCAGTAGTACCGCAATACAGTGTGCTGCGTTGCAGTGCAATGTAAGAAAGTAGTGCATGTCAATGCGCTTCATGACCTGAAAATGGCATCCACATGGGAACTGGAATCCTATTGTCGATCCTAAGAGAAGGAAGTTCCTAGAGTTACGCTGTGTGCGTTGTAAGGAAACACTAGTGAAAACTTAAAGGGACACTCAATCACTAAGAAAGCAGCCCAGAGAGCTAAAATAAAATAGAAAAACTAAAGGGGAGCTATACCTAAAAAATAATCATAATAATAAAAAATGGAAATACAGTATAAATAAATTAAAAAGTAAAAGGTCAAAAATCTGAAAATTAAAAAGGGAAGAAAACAAAATGTCACAAGGCATAAAAGGCATAGAGATTACACTAGTTACAAGTAAGAAAAAAACAATAAAGAGTAAATAAGAATTAAAATAATTTGAAATGTCTCCAAAAAGACACAATCTTTCCATACATAATCAGAAAGGGAAGGCTGCCTCTTGCATTCTAGAGAACGAAAAGGTCATTATTCAAAAAGTAAGCACAGGAGTGACACCATGGTATTCAGGCCCCTGGGGACCGCCGACTGCAGAGAATGTATTCAGTAAGACTCCTTCTGTAAGAGGACACAATTTCTGTAACCATCAGCTGTCGAGGAAAGACAGTATAAACAAATCAGTGGCACTGTCATGGCCATTTCACCATCACCTCCTTTTGCCTTCCCCTTTGTTGGCTATCTTGAGGAAAAATGTATCCATCATCCTAGCAATGACGCCACATACATCCGTGGCTGAGATATTTTTGTTATCTAGAAGGACAGTCTACTGATTTTTTTTTAATTCCATTTCTTCAGCAATTGAATTTAATCCAATATTTACAAAGTTTTACAAAATGACAGTAACCTCTGCAGTAAGGTCAAACAACCACCACTTCACACTTACACATAAAGTAAAAACTTGCAAACAAATAAAAAACACTAAAGATCTTCATGTTAAAGCCGATCTATCAGATGAATGACAAAAAAAAATTGTTGAAGATTTCAGATAGAAAGCGATGTTTTAAATATGTGTAGTTCCTTGATCAGTAGGTCTATATTCAATCATACTCACTCTGGCAGTGTTTAAAGTGACACTAAACTCAAGAGTTAAATCTTAAAAATGCATTCAAGTACCTTAACTATTAACTAAAATGTATCTTATTTGTGTATCACTCGGCTGTAGTCCCTCAAATCATCTCCAAATTAATGCTGACACTGTCCTTCCTTCTGGAGCTTGGATACTTTTGTGCTTCATTGTCCCTGTGTGTGTTGTAAAGTAGCCACCGCTCCAAGCTTGCTCCCATACTTCCAGCACAGTATTGTGCTGGAACTTCTGTGACAGCCGAGAAGGAAGGCTGTGAGTGCAGCTCTCCCTTCACTGTATACACTGTAAACACGGAGTGGAGCGGAGAACGAACCTTCACCGCTCTGCTCCCTATTCTACATCATGAGAGAGGATCTCCGGCCAGGGAAGAGAGATACTCGGCGGTGGGGGCAGAGCCATCAAAGAGAGAGGTAGGCACTAGCTAAATGTAGAAAACAACCCAGTGCCCGGAACTGCATGTCCCGGATGTCGGGGGATTCTACACCCCTGCCGCCCCTCTGCTCCCTGACGCCCCGAGACCAGCCTGCATGTACCAAAAAAAAAAGGTTTAAAAATACTGCACAGCAGTGTCGGGACAAGGTCTTTAAGAGAAGAAAATGAAGGAGTTAATAAAAACAAGACGGTTTAACTAAAAGTTTAAAGGAAAACTAGAGCCAACCCTTTATTTTAGCTTTAGTTCTCTTTTGAGTCATAGAAATATATTTACTGATGTACTCTTGTGACCCAAAGTCAGCATATAGTGGACTACTGTTCAGTTCTCTGTTGATAAGCTTGAACTGCGAATTGCGCGCCCCACCACCCACCCCAGCCTTATGCGGTAGGTCCGCAATCATTGGAGGAGGCATTTTTAAAAAGATTCGGTTGCTGTGAGGTCCTGCGCTTCCTGGCGATATGTTGTGATCAAATATATATTTTTTCAATCTATTTTTTTCTATTTTTTCAACTTTTATTTTTTTGTGGTTGCTTCAGGGGGTGTGAATTGGGGGTTTTTTGTTTTTTTTGGGGGGGACACTAAAAAAATCTTGCACTAGGGCCCTTTGTTCTTTAGGTCCACCACTGGTTATCTTTGGGGTACCTGTGCACGTTGAATAGCTGCTGGCCATGCTTTGTTAGAAACTCTCTGCATAAAGTGAAGTACAGCATCTCCTGCTTGCTGTACCCTGTAGGTGCTTAGTAATGATGTTCAAATCAGCGATAGCTGCTGCTGTTTTTGATGTCTGCTGCTACAAACTGCAGATCAGACATGTGAGGCAGCTGGTTGGCCATGATTAGGGCATTGTTCTGTTCTGGAGCAATAGAGAGAGCTCTGTACGAAAGGCCATGTCCAATGAATAGGGAATTGGGGAGGCAACAGAGGAGGCCTGAGAGCCTACAGTGTTCCTATGCTGGGGTCATCTCAGCATAGGCAAAGTCACCGGACTGAAGATCAAGGTCTTCTTTTAATGATAATGAATACCTTTTGTTTGAACAATCACACTCATGCTATATATTGTGGGATGTCAGAAATATATTCATACATACATGTAAAGTTACTGAATGGGCTATGTTAAGGGTATACAGATGTTCCTCGGAGTTACGATTTTTCGCATTTATGATGACATTTACTGTACTCCCAGTATACTGTAACTCCCAGGTATTCAGCACCCACGGAGCGGTAGGTGCCGGATAACTGTAGTTTTTGGTCCCAGCCCCAAGGCGCTCTGTTTCCCTATTCACCTGCTGGCCTGCTTCTGCAGGCAACAGGTGGATGTAAACAGCCGGGATCAATAGCAAGACTGCTATTGGATATTTCAAATTGCAATAGCAGGCTGTCTATTGCACCCGCCCACTGAAAAGAGGAGCAGACATGAGAGAAAACTTGCTCTCTCAGTTTCACTCCTCCTCTTAGGAGGGTTCAATAGCCAGCCTGCTATTAGCTATTGCAATTTGAAATAGCCAATAGCAGTCTTGCTATTGATTCCCATTTTGTACATTCTGCTGCTGACCGTGGCAGTACAGTACACAAGTAAACTTACAATGTTACGATGGATTTTCCGATGTTACGATGGATTTTCTGGAACGTAACCCGATCACAACCCGAGGAGTGTCTGTATTTAAATTGGCTGATTTTTACCCAAGAAATGATGAGGATCTACTGCAGTTTTTCCCCCCAACCTCACCAAAGTTTATTTGCGGCATTGAGGCGTTGGAAAACTTGTTCCTTTTGCTATGGAGAAAAAGAAACAATCAATGATTAAATGTTTTTCCAACAAACTGGTAGAGCTTTGTGCATGATAGCAGTCACATTCAACTTTAACAAGTGCTCAATATCTTTCAGTAATTAAAAGCTACATGGCTTGATCAGTTACATTGCCTAAGAATATTGGGCCACCCAAAGGTTTACTGCTATAAACATTTCACAGATAAGGATAACATTGTAGATCACGCGGTTATCCTTCAACATGTGTCCATAGCCATACTAAATCTGAACTTCTACTGGCAATCTTTTGGGAGGGGTACAGAAGATTTCACATTCCAAAATGGAATGAGGAGCCAGAATACCGGAAATTAAGAACATATCTGCTAGTATTCTAAGATTACAAAGCAGACAGGGGGGACTTAAACAGATTCAGAAATATAAATAGAACCTTATAAGGATGGAATGCCATAGTTTTGTGACCCTTTGTCACTATAATTCTGCAGCATTACGTGCAAAGCTCTGTCCTCAGCTCCAAAAAGCCTGTGTTGTTTCAGCAGGTTAGCATTCTTTGCCCAACATAGCATTCTGCCTTTCTGGAGACTGCTGGGGTTGTTTTTAAAATGGCTTAAGATGCAGATTTTTGTGGTGAAATGCCTTCACAGCCTGTGGTGTCATTCTCTGCAGGTTCCAGCTTCTGCAAGGTACAAAAAGTTGCTAAAAGTTAGAATAATTAAGAAAAAAAAAAATGTGGAGTCACCTCTCCAATTTATAACAGACCCTTTAGGTCTGGTAGGAATGTTAGGGGGGACCGGCCGAAGTCCAAAAAAAACAAAAAAAGCATGGGGCTTCCCTACAAAGTCATACCAGACCCTTTAGGTCTGATAGGAATTTTAAGTGGGACCCCTATGTCCAAAAATGTAAAAACAAAAAACGTGGGGTCCCCCCTAAAATTCCATACCAAACCCTTAATCCAAGCAGTGGCCTGGCAGGACAGGATAGGAG